GATGTGTTGTCATCCATGAGGAGAAGAGGATGGTATGAGAAAGTATTGAGACAAGCATTAATTGTATTGAGAAGAAAAAAAGAGGAGTATTGAGATAATCATCTTTCTCTTCTATCTTCTTTGCTCACCCAATAAATGCACTTATTAATGGAAGTTGGCAAAGCTTTGATCATCTCTACCAACCGCTTCTCAAATTGAACCATTTGTCAAAGTGTTCTGAGCTTCCAAGGACTTCATGGTTATGTTAGTGATTTGAAAGGGGCTTAATTAAAAATGGCAAAAAAAATTGATAGGGAACTCCACTGTTTCTAGATCTTTTAAGGGTTTCTTTCAAAATTAATTAATATGATGATTTGATCTTAGTACATGTGCATTTGTAACTCATAAAAGTGTAAGGACATGCACGTTCACCTCCATTCAATAATTTGCCCTAAAGACATCTAAATCTTATCGTCCGTGCACATTCAATGTGTTTATTATTACTCATTCACCAAGTAAATTAACAACTAAATAATATTAAAAGAACAAATACGTCAGTCCCCTATCCTTTCTTATAGGGTTAATCTAACATAGAATTCTACTCTCTCATTATGCTACTGGTCGTCCTTTAAGTTTAACATCGATAAATAGATCTTTAGGTCTGAACATTATTAAAAATTTGCGAAAGAATTTGGACTCTCTCCACTACAAAAAAAAAAAAGTGAAGAGACCACTACTTTTAGTCTCAATCGTTGATTACTTAGTAGTCGGTTATGATATAATCTAAATCTAACACTCATCACAGCCCCGTGTATTGCACTCATTCCTAATTTGTACTAAAAAAACAACGGATTCGGATCCTCTCCACTAAAAAAAATAGTGGAGGGACCACTACATAATCACAGCCATTGATTATCTAGTTGATGATTATGATTTTTTTTCTTTTAGTGCAAATTAGGAATGAGTGCAATACACGGGGGTATGGTAAGTGTTAGATTTAGATTGTATCATAACCGCCTAGTAAATAATCAACGCTTGAGATTAAAAGTAGCGGTCTCTCCACTACTTTTTTGTAGTGGAGAGGATCCAAATCCAAAAACAACTATCAACTAGATAATTAACGGTTATGATTATGTAGAGGTCCCTCCACTGCTTTTTAGATAGCGGAGAGGATCCGAATCCGACAGATAAACCTCATGCATCGCCGTAATACGCCACTTCATTCCTCACGTACCGTCCGCTTCATCACCGTCACAAAGCTCGCTAGAAAAAGAGGCACGATCCAATTTAAGAGAAGGCGTAGAGGGTGACGACTAAGGCCATGAACTTATATATTACGCTCTATCTGCAAAATATCAAATTTAACAGGTAATAATTGTTACAGCTCGAGAGTGCAGGGGGTCCACATGCAACTAACTTTCTGTATATATTTTTGGAAATCAAATCTCCAAACTCTAGAAATTTTAGTTCTCTTACCATTGAAGGACATAACATAAACTTTATAGCAATCTGACGTACACGTTTCAGAGGTGGAAGAAAGAAAGCCTCCCAATTCCCAAACGCACCAAAGCACGGCAAGGACAAATCAGATTAGGCCTGGGCAACGTGGAAGAAAAAAAAAAAAAAAAAATCTGCACACACCTTTTAGTGAGGGAAAGAAAAATAAAAAATAAAAAGATCAAGCGAAATTATTTGTTTGCACATTGGCTCATTAAATCCATTACTAATCTAGCCTGTATATATAGAGAGAGATTAATGAGTATCCTTGATAAGGAGGGGATTTTACTCCTTGACAATGACGACACAATCCCCACTATGTGAAGGAGAGAATAAAGTACGAGAAAGTATTTCATATGGTGAGGATTGTGCTACATCATTGTCAAGAAAGTAATCTCCTTTCTTGTTAAGGATACTCATTAATCTCATATATATATATATATATATATATATATATATATCGCCCTGGCGCAAATGGTTCCTTCCCCCCTAGCGGTAAAACCCCCGGAAATAGCCGGCCTCTGCACTCGAGCGAGAGCACAGAGCTTCTGCTCAGACGAAGAAGGTTGCCCAAAATAAATAACAATATCGAGAATATAGTAGCACAAAACCCCGTTATAATTATCTCTCTATTTCTTTTTCTTTTCTTTTTCTCACTGTTTCTTTCTCTCTTTTATTTTCTCTATACTTCCGTTCACAGAGAGAGAGGGAGAGAGGATTAGAGGAATAAAAAGAGATATTAAGAGGGAAGTGTTATCTTTTTGAGAGGGTGATTAAGGGGGGTTTTTATAGGAAAAGAGGAAGATAGGCGGTTACAAGATTGGAGGATTAAACAAAAAGGAGGAGAAAGAATTAGTCAACGGTTTGAGAGAATTATGGGATAGAGGGGTTAGTCGGAGATAAATGTGTTTAGAAAAAGTCAATTTGACCTTTTCATAGAAAATATCCAACAGGGGGGCGTGGACCTTGTATATAAAATCATAAAGAGAGTAAAATTGTGATACATATGTCAACATACATTTTAAATGAAAACGTGCTGTTCTACAGATCCAACCCCCCCACCCCCACACACACACACCCGTTTTTATTGCTTGGATGTGGACTTGGAACTGAATTCACAGAATAGACTTAATTAGTACGTGGCAATGGCTACTTTTGACTGGGAGAAAAGAGGTTGCCTATAAGAGGTAAACAACATGGAGGTCGGCAGAATCAATCATGGGGTCTCATGAGCCTCCAAGGTTTTGTGAAAGGAGCAGGTTGATAAGAGTTTGCATATTGACATAGAATGGAATCACATGCAACTAATATGTACAATACAGCTGTATTTACTTTACTGATCAACTGTTATTTTAGGGTTATTTAGATGTTAGTCCCTCAAATCCTAGAGAGCCCCGCAATTTGGTCCTTGATAATTATAATACCCCTCAATTTATTTATGTTTTCCCTCTATAATCCCGAACACCTTCTTTTTGGTTGCTAAGGGACCAAACAATATATAAGATCCATAGGATTAGAGGGAGTATGAGCAAATTCAATTATTTGAGGGACTAATATGGCGTTACCGAAGATTAGAGGGATTAATATGTAAAGTACAACCCCTATTTTTAGGTGCTGTAAAAATAAATTGCAGCAAGGAAAAAAAAAATGCAACATTTGTTGCAAGAAATCAACTTCAAATTCATCGAAATGTTTACAAATTATATTATAGGAAATGTATTTCCAACACAAATTCAGTGCTTGGTTCAAAATAATTAGTGCAAAAACTACATAATTTTACCATATAAAGCAACTTTGGTGAAAAAGTTTTTTTTTATGAGGTGAAATTTACATTTATTTTTAGTTTTCTTTTTTTAAATCATGCAGCTTTTCCTCCTACCAAATTGACCGCAGCATTTGTTGCAAGTTTATTCTACAAAATACAAGTTCGTTGACTTTCCTTAATTACAAAATTATATACCAAACATGTAATTACACCGATTACTCCATTTACACTTTCAGCGGTATTTCCATCTGTTCAAACAGCCCCCTAATGATCAGACAGCCCCCTAATGTGGGTAATCAATTCACGTGAGTATTTCTAATTTCAAGGAAAATGACTTTGACATAATAATACAGATTTAATCATTACTTCACAAATTTCAGTGACAAACACATGTATCCGTCCATTAAGGGGGAGGGATTTAAAAAAAGAGAGACTTGACATAATATTCTCTAGAATTAATTAAGGGTTTAAACTTAAAAAATGGAAGAAAAAGAATTCATAAGTCCAATAAACTAGAGGGTTACCTTCAGCGTTACTCTTCAGGTATATGGGCTACTAAAAAAAATACTCTTCGAATATTTAGTTAGTGGAGCACAATAAACTACATGGATAATCAATAAGCACATTTCTCGGCATAAAATAAACGGTTTTTCTATAGAGTGTCCATGGGCACTCTATAAGAGAGGAGAGAGAGAGAGAAATGAATAGTTCATGGGCCCCCTATCTCTTCTCGCTCGAGTTCGCCGATTGGACCTCGAGCTCGCCTGTAGCCCTCCGCGAGCTCGTCTGAGCTCATCTTCTCTGTTCGACCTCACCGGAGGTCGGCAACGACGGGGATAAGGTATGGGTCTACCCCCTTTTTCCAACACTAGCTCCCGTCAAGATGCATAGGCTTCTCTCTATCTCTCTCCTTTCTTATAGAGTGCCCATGGGCACTCAATAGAAAAACCATAAAATAAAAGTCGTTTTTCTCGTGAAATGCTTGCTTGCTTACTCCCCACTCTTTCAGCATCTGTTCCCATGCGTAATTAATGATAAAACCATTCAGTTAAGCTAATGAGCAAGTATTTTTTTTAATCTATTAAGGCTCATCTTACAAGTTTAATATTGTTTTCATGCCTACTAACTAACCAGTCCAATCAACATGAAAATATCTATTACTTCATTAATCGTATATCAGATGGATATTTATTTTTGAATTAATGAATTTGAGGATTTATGTACCGATCCAATAATAGATATCTGTAAAGCACTACAGATGTAATAGACTGAGACGATCAGATATGTTCTCCTTAATGAACTGCATAAGACTAGAAGCAATTTTTTAAACAAATAACACATTATATATTTTGTT